CACACCTTAGGATTCTTCATGCAGATAATAACACAAGCAGAATATGCCACAGGAACCACAGTTCCACTCCAGAGACATGGTCCCCCAAGCCCAAAACAGGGAAGGAGAGAGAATAAAGATGGACAGGTAAATGTACATGTAAAATACATCTATTATACAGCTCTTGGAAGCAAGATAGCACTTGAAACATCAGTTCAACCTGCGAATCAGATGCCTGATGTTCTTGTTTAACAGAACTACTAGAGCACTAAAAGCAATGGGCAGAGAATGCAGCTTCAGAATACACAAAACAATGCACTTCACATAATGAAAGGTAATATAAATTGTTTGTATAAAGCCTGGTTAAGCTATGAAGCTCCTTACCACAGGCCGCTGTCAATGTTAAACATTTACACAGATTCAAAACTGTTTGCATGTATTCATGGAAGGAAAAGTCAATTGCACTAGCTTAGGTGAATGCAGAAAGTCCTTCACCACAACCAACGTTGGCTGGGAGAATGTTACGTACAGCATCTTAGAATATGCTAACAGGTCTTAGTATACGCTTTCCCCTAAGTTCTGCCCCAGAATTTGTTATTGATCACTGTCAGAGACAGGAGACTAGACTCGATAAACATCTGGACTGAATTAATACAGCGACAAAGAAAACCAAGGTAAGAGTCAGGACAGCATTCCAGAATCAGGGTGTTCTAAATGTCAGCATGGGCAATGGAACCGAGAGGTAGCTAGCAAACAGCTGTGGAAACATGCGGCGAGCACAAACCTCAAGATCATGGTTTTTTTTATTTAGGGCTTGATCCTCAGTACAGAAACTTAAAAGGATTCAGAGGTGACAGGAGGAGAGTATCCGTGCAGGGTGAGTACAGTTGAAACTAAATTTCAAGGAGGACGTGATTGTTTGATCATGCCAGAGGGAATAAATAATGTTAAGTAAAATGAATAATCAACCTAAGAGATGGAAAAGTGGAAAAAAAACCCTATCAGAAGCAGAGGTGGTGTAACTGCTCAAGAAAGAGACAAGGCAAGCAAACACTAAAGAACACAAAATGACAAAAAAATCAGACTTCAGTATGTTTATAAACAATCTCAGTGATGCAGCAATAAATTCTGGTGCAAAAAAGGAAACTCTGAACCTATACATTCTTTAATTATTCTGCATAAGTTTAGTGCTACTACTGTGTGCACGGCTTCAATATAAATGCAATTTAACTTCAGAATTCAGGCACATGTCCCGTTGACTTCGCTTCATCTTGGTTGCATTAAGATGAAATCATTCCTCCTAATCAACTCCCCCTTCAGTTTAGAATCTTGAACCTGTAAGAGTATTTTGATTGTCCTTTTGTGATAAAAGCTTAAGTTTATTGATAATAACTTTAAAAACTGAACTTTTTGCCCTTTTATTCTTAATGCATACCACTATGCCATCCAGGTGATTCAAAACTAATATTCACAAAAGCTCTAGGCTTGATTATGTCATAAGCTCCTTGTTCTGAACACACGCAGTGTCTTTAATGAAGGCAAAAGGAATGAAACACAACAGACATCCCTGGCACTTCAATTTCTGTGCTCAACAGATCACTGTTTGAGGTCTTCTATTCCTTTGACCATTATAAATAATTCTCCTCTTTCAGAGCAAGCCCACAGGAAGATGAATGAAGTTTAAAATACAAAATTTCAGGTGAAAAACTCAGATGCATTCCATAGTCCCGCATTAGTGTCTAAAAGCTACATTATACAAAGTACAGTGTCCTGTGGAAAATCAGTTTGGAATTTCCAGGACAATCCCACTGGTGTTCCTAGCAGAGAAGTAAGAAATTAACAGAACACAGAATAAATAAACATATTATTTAAAAATACAGATTTTTAGTTTTCAGCAAGGGTAGAATTCTGGAAACAGTTACCTTACTTGTCTGGAAGTACTTTCCTTTAAACACTCTCTGCACTTAGCTTTCACAGTGCAGAACACAGACATCTTTCCAAGTTCTTAAATTCAGGGGAAGAATAAAGTAAAAATGGTAACTATACTATTCCATCACTACTCAAAACTCTGTAAGAAAGCTACATTAATTTCTTAAGAGCTAAAACAGCCTTAGATGAAACAGCAGACAGCCACCAAATTTAAATATGAGAAATTCCACATCTCACAATTCTAGTTTATTTGACTAAGATTTTATTATGTCCTTCTCAGCAGACAGAAAAAAAAGTATTATTTCTAAACAAAATTAGCTCTTTAGATATTACCATTGCATATGATAATGAACTTGAAGGAATATATTTCATAAAAATTCTTAAAGATACAGGAAGTACCAGCTTTCCAAAGTTAGAGGAGATACTGCATGAAGTTCTGTACCTAATATAATCAGTTCTGGTTTGCATTTTTAAAATCAACATAAACTTCTGTTAATGACTACTTACAGCATCTTTTAACTATATATAAATATACACATACATTGATTTCTGGAGCTGAGGAAAAAAATTCCATGACAAAGCTAGAATAGATCTGTTCTTTGCACTCTGACATATCAGAAACACGTTCTGATGGTAGCTACTCCCACTGCAAACACTATCATAAAAAAAAGAAAAATCAGGGTTGATTGCTTCCCCTAAAGTGTGAGTATTTTTAGAACTTAACATATACACAGAACTTTATATCCTTGTAAAGATTTAAATATTAAACATCTGCCCTGAAAGTACTTCCCCTCTCTTCAAGTTTCCTGTTCCTTGAGTCACGCGTGTGCCACTAATTCTACAGTGACCTTCTCAAGATATAAATGACTGGCCAGTTACACATTTACTCTTACAAAACTCAGTAATGTATTTTGATTTAAAGCACACCCCCTGTAAAAGCACACAGATTTTATCAGAAGACTTCTAGAGGAACAGAATCCATAACATTCCAAGTTGTTTATGCCAACTGTTAATCATTGTCACCTCTGAAAAGTGTTTCGTTTTTTGCCTGCCTGTCATTATGTGTTTGGTCTTGTTCCTGTCTTTTGTAGATTATAGAATCCTTTAGGATTCTGTATCGCACAAAAAGGTGCTTGAAAACTTAATTAAATCAACTATAGATCTTTTCCAGAGAAAGCAACTGGCCAGTTTAAATTCCCATGGCATACATTGTGTTCTCCAGAAGTGGTTGTCTTCTCTCTGGTCTACATTTTTGTAACGCACTCCTCAAAATGGGGGCACTAAAACTATGCATGATGTTTCAGGGTGGCTCTAAAACAAAGACCGCCTAATACACACAAAAGCACGAGGGGAAAAAAAGGCATCAGTAAGGCTTATTTCAAACCAAGCTCGGATCCCCAAGCTTGGCTTACAGAGCCACACCGGCAGCTTGTATTGGCACTCAAACGCTTCCGAGGCTTCTTACACAAACACCACTGTTGGAAAAACATCCTTGCAAATGCGTAGCACACATTTAAACTGGCAGAGCTTTTCCAGCATTTTGCTCTCCCCCCGCCTTCCATACGGTGCCAACGGCAGCAATTCGTGCCGTTATGTGAACTGATCTGGGAAAATTTCCCCAGATTAAATCCCTCTTTTGCTTTTTTTCCTGCCAGATTGCTTTTCAGCCTCAGAGTCCCCGCGCCCTACGCCATCCGGGCTGGGACTCGCGCAAACCCAGCAGCGCGCAGCCCAAGGTTGGGGCGGGACGGGGAAGCGCTGTTTTACGCACGTATGAAACACGCAGCTGGGCAGGCGGCCACGCAGCCGGGAAGCGGCGGCCGGG